ATGGCACGCACTTTGAAAATGTGTACCATTCTTAGCCACCTCAGAACTGCAGATTAAACTAGTTCTGCAGATTAAACTAGTTTAAGATCCCATCTAACAATAGTGAGAAGGGTCCAAAAGGAACACAAATGACAACAAATACTACTACAGAAGTGGAGGAAAAGGAAGAATTATACACTGTTGGTGGAAGTGAAAATCAGGGCAGCCATTTGGAAATCAATCTGGATGTCTCCCCAAAATCTAGAAATAGTGGCTAGAGAGATAGCTCAGTGGTTAAGAGCACTGGTTGATCTTGCAGGGGACCCGGGTTTGGTTCCCAACACCCAATGGCAGCTAAATACTGTTAGCTCAAGTTTCAGGGACTCCAATGCCCTGTTCTGAACTCCTTGGCCATTTTACAACACAGATACACTTACATACATGTAGGCAATACACTCATACACATCAAATAAAACAAAAATAATAAATAAAATATTTTTTAAAAACTAGAAATAGGTATGACATATGACAAAGGCATCTCATTTCTAGGTACAAATGCAAAAGACTCTGTGTCCTACCACATATGCACTTGCATATCCACATTCATTGCTGATTTATTCTCAATAGCTAGGAAATGAAATCAATCTATTTTCATAAACAGATTAATGAATATAGAAATATATAGAAAATGTAGCACATATACTTAGTGGAATACTCACTTTAAAAATATGAAATAAAACTTAAACAAAATCGTGACATTTTCTAGAAAATGAAACTGGAAAAACATTACTGAGTGACATAACTCAGGCCCAGAAAGACAAGTAACCCAAATTCTTCTTTATGTGCTGTCCTAGTTTGTTCTTCATTGCTGTGACAAAATACTCTAAAGATAAAGTAGACATACTTATTGTTTGATTAGTAATTCTTAATAGACAAAACATAATTGACAAAGACTGCGAACTTTTTGCAGAGTTTGGCTTAAAGAATGTTAACATTTTAAGAATAAATATTAAAGTCTGCCTTTGTAAGTTATGTACTACATAAAAACTTGAAAATATTAATAGGTACCTAAGTATCATCGGTACAGCAAAAAAAATACATTTTTAGTGGTTTGCCTTGTTTTAATCCTTTAAACAAAAATGTATGACACAAAAGACTTCTTCAATAAACAAACAATTGGTAACAAAAAAAGAAAGAAATTCCTATTCCATGCACAGTTCCTGAAATATAGAAGGCATGTGTTTATGGACAGACTACATCACTTTTCTTCTGTGGAATTTTCTTACAATAAATTTGAGATGGCAAATACCTTTGTTGAGCTCACTTGTGTTCCACAATTGGTATAAATTTGTACCTATTTATAATATAATTAAACTGTTCCAGTCTAACTATTCCATTACAATGTCAACATCAAAGGTCATCATTTCTAAACCTTATGCTGTCTGGGAGCCTGAAGGTATTGCAAAGATTGTCTTAACTATAACTTTCTTTGAACACAAATTAAAATATGACTTTGTTTCCTTAAAACCAGCCTTCTCATATCTTGGTCTTTGTTGTATTCCTATGCCCATTAGGGTCTTAAATGTAATTTAGAATTTTCTCACAAGAAAAAAATTACCAGCAGGGACACAGAGATATAATCCTACATTATATAACTTTAGATTAGAGAATGTAGAAGACATGGGCAAATACTAATATAAATAAAACTGTATGTTTTAATTCAAGTTCTAACATCATAAATGACCTCATTAATATCCTTCTCACACAAATGACCTGTCACCATCTCTCTCAATTGTCTCATCTATAAAATGGGAACAGT